CATTACTATATATATTCGTGTTAATGTACACCGGCATGCTAACGGCTGTCATTTTGTCGACTGCTCAGAGTTTCCATAAAAACGAACCGCGAGGCTCGAAGAATCGCGACTTAGTATTCTCAGATCAGCCGGTTTCAATTCCGACCTCCGAACATTTCTGGGAGAAATTACTGTACTATTCACTTTCCGGCTATAGAGAACTGTAGCAGTTTGGTCAGCTGTTGGTAATTCCTGGTTTAATCCTAATTGGAGAGTACGATTAGACTTGCAGGAAAAGAGTATAAAATGTAAAATTCTTATATTCTTCGAACGACTATGCTATTTTGTGTTTCACGTACTCATTTTCATCATAAATCCATCGATCAATGAACACATCGAATATAATGACGCCCCAATGCAAACATTTCTGCGAGAAATTACTGTATTCCGCTTTGTCGCAGTTCGAAGAACAAGATATTAGATTGAATTAGAACTACGATGATCACGTTTACAGAAATATAGCAGGACCAGAAACGAATTTATCGATGACAAAGGCTCGAAGAGGAAGGAGCCCACCGATTCATCGTAATTCTCTTCGAAAACTCACTTTGGATTTCGTTCCTTGCTCGGGGCGTTTGCCCACTCTACGCATATAGGCGCCGGATATCGAGTTAGATTAGGCAGGTACCTTACCTTCAGATCAGGGTACGTTTGCCGAGAACCTTTGGTACAATAGTTCTCAAAGGGGCTGACAAGGAGTGTGCATACCTTGGATGAATACAAACAATGGCGTAGGAGAAGCCAATGGTGCGCGGAATTGCGAAGTAACTTATTCAAGGGTTACGTCAATGCAGCATGCTACCGGTAATTTCTAACTTTAAAAGCAAATCTCACCCATTGTCTGATAAATTCCGATATTCCCGGGACCATTGGCGGTTCTATTAATTGTAGAACCATGATCGGATGAATTTAATCGTTTGTAGAACACGCTCGTCGCAAATAATTGCGATACCATCGCAATTGTATAACGATATAATTTCGTTCATAAATTCGTGTAACTACCTTAGTACGAGAACCGCACGCAAAGAGTTTTATTGATTATTTGCTCGCAAATAATAGAAGGCAGAGTTTTAGGTAAAAGTATATTTATTGAACACACGGAAACGCAAGATCTAATATACAGGCTTGCTCGTAAGAGCTTAGAGACGATTTAAAATGAATCGAAAGGGCTTAAGCTGTTCCGAATCGAATCGTTTTCTCTAGATGCGTCTTTTACTAAATGCCGTTCAGCAGGTCCATTTCATTTCATTTCTTCTAAATTTGTTGATTATTTGCTTGCGAATAATTAAAGGCAGAGTTTTAGGTGAAAGTATATTTATTGAACACACGGAAATACAAGATCTAATATACAGGCTTGCTCGTAAGAGCTTAGAGACGACGAGTGTACTCGCAAGCTGCTCGCAGACGACTGACTAAAAAACCGCGGAAGACACGCAAACTGTGGGTCAGAAAATCCTTAGCGGTCATAAATAACCAATCCGCTCTCGCACCGCGTGTAACGGACTTTCGAGTCAAAATTTGCTCGACTCGAGTCGACGCGCGTTTAGCGCTCGCGTGCCCTGCGGATGGGCCGCAAGGGCCGTCTTACCTGAAAAACGGACAAGGCCATAAAACATGCAAAGTACCCATTTTCAATAGCATCGAAAATGCCAGACATTTACAGTTCCGAAGCATTTCGAGCACCGGTCTAGAGCGTACCTTGGGAAGTGATTTGAAGTCTACATAATTAGAATATTGAAACTCTAATCAAAATCTTGAGATACCAGCCTAATACTGGGTTAAAGAATTAGACGCAGCATTTTATATTTTCCACAATGTCGGAAGAACACGCTTCTATTTATTATAAAAATTTCTTTAAAATTGATTGACAAATAAATGTGTTGAACATTAAAAATGCCAGACATTTACAAGTTTAAATAATTTCCAACACGGTCTACCTTGCTTCAGAAATATTGCTATCGCTCGAGTACGTGCATCGTTCCTGTTGAAGGTTCATTGACACGAACCAACTGTAAATTCTTAATGAACAAGTGTGCGAGATATTCCCGGGGCTCCTCAATTACCTTTCTTTAGATCTTTCAAACGGAATCAGTTTTGTAATGTCTCGAAGATTGAAGCCACACTGAGAATGACACGTGACGTCTCGCGTTTGAATAGTGCATGCGGAGCCCTGCAATCTGTTGATCGAGGAGCCTACAGTCTACTATTACCGCTTGTCGATCCATTACAGACTTTACAAATTCATAAATGCATACTGTCCGCAGTGAAACGGTAGTGTGAAATGGAATATAATCTCTCGGAGATTCGAATCCTCAACATTCCTTGCATCGCGTGTGTGGAAAATGAAAATTTCGTTGGCTCGGTATATCGCTAAAAAAGAGTTCATATTTACGCAGGTACAAAGTCGCAACTCAAAGAAACGCCAGCGTCGCAACAGGTTGAAGATCCCAAAGAACCACGGAACAGACCGAAGACAAAGAACTTTGTCTTTCTCGTAACAGAATTACGAAAATTCGCCTTGAAACGCGTGCAGCAGCAGCAGCGTCTACGTTAAAAAAGAAAACGGTAGAAAAATCTCTTAGAATTACAATAAATTGCTGGAGTCATTCAGCAGTTCGCTCGCTGCCTGGAGACCGGAGTCTCTTCGTAAAAGAGGATCCCGAATTTTCCCCGCGGTTGCAGATTTATCCAGGAAGAATGAAACGAATCCGTCTAATTCAGTCTTCAGGAACGCACGAGCGAATTGAAATTTTGTATTCTCGTCGGCGGTGGACGCGGGATGCGGCTCGGCGGACGGCGGAAAAAAGGAGAGACGAGGGAAAAACTTTTCAACGAGTTTACGCGCGTCTCTTTCCCGTCGAGACTCCGGGGCCGCGCGGAGAGTGAAACTTGGCCCCGTCTGGAGATGAAATCCGTGGCGCGTGACGGCACGCCTTCCTGAGCCAAAATCGCGGTACGATTTTAATTCTACCGTTCGCAGAAACGCGGCGGATTAGGGCGGTCCTCGAGGATGGGTCCCGACGTCACCGACGCCGACGCCGGGGCGCCGTCGCCGCCGCCGCCGCGAAGAAGTCTCGCGTATTTCGACGCTTACGTTTCGACGTGATGAATATTTAGCGGCGGTGCTTGAGAACGTTAAGACGCCTCGTAGACGCGCGACTATATCCATGGAACGTTAACCCTTCTTTACCCCGGGCCTCCTTATCCGAGCGTTTCATCCCTTTCGCAACGCGACGTAACAGGCGGTGCTTCCGTCTTAACTTCCCGGCAACAGGAATTCACCGTTCCGCTGCGTCGACGTTGTTTACAACTTGCCGACGGCATTTAGTATGATTACGGTTCGTTAAAAAACCCGGGGCTTCTTTGTTTCCCCGGTACACCCAACTTCCTACTGTTCCCGGGCTCGAGCCCCCAGTATAGATTAGGTTCGCCTGGAAATATTGTGCAAGGAGCTCGCCGCAGCGCGACCGGTCAGCGGGTTCCTCGTTAATTATGGGGAAACTGTGCGCCATTGTGCGAAACAATTGCATTGGTTACGAAACAGACAATTTCTTTGTTTAATCTTCAAGCGGTGACCGCTGTTTTAATAGCACTAGGCGGTGGGTAACGTGGCGTCAAATTGAATTCGCGTCGATAATGGCGACTCAACGTCGAACAGACTCCATGTCGACACTGGTTACGTACGACAAATTCGTACGAGAAATTCAGCCGGTAGTGAATAAAACGTGAACATTTGCTACAAGTATTATAAATAAGTATAGTGTGCAGAAGTATGCGGAGTCAATTTGACAGACACCATTGCTTGTGTTGGGAGTCAATTCGACGCACGTCACCGCTATACAGTTGATAGTTTTGATAAGATCAAGGTTACATAGTAGAACTTCTATTATCAGAATAATAAAGACGAGTTGAAAATTCGGATAACAGAATAGCTACTTAGTTACTGGACTAACCATTATCAGAATAATAAAGACGAATTAAAAATTCGGATAATAGAATAGCTACTTAGTAGACTAACTATTATCAGAATAATAAAGACGAGTTGAAAATTCGGATAATAGTATAGCTAATTAGTTACTCAACTAGGTTATGCCAGTATTCATTTGTATACGAAATCGTGTTTGTCTAGATCGTTTTGAACTGCAATATTCGTTGTGAAACATATTCGGATAATGGAAAGTCCAGACAATCGAGATTCCACTGTACATCGACATTCTTTTAATATCTGTTAATCTTTATTACAGTTTATTCGCATTAGAAGCGCAGACAATCTGCAGAACAAAAATGTAATGTAACGTGGTGAAAGGAAGCGATCATTTTATCAATGGAGTTCAAGGTTATATGGTAATGATCTTCAAAAATTATACAAAAGCGAAAGAACGCGTAGCATTTTATTTATCATATTTGTTTGTTGTTTGTTATATTCGTCGCTTAAAAATTGCTGCTCATATTAAAAAATTGTGCACGCTATTTTGTTAGTTATAAAAACAGCGGAACATCCTGCTGTTTTATTTGTTCCGAATATTTGCTCTTTAAGAGAAAAACAGTGGCTGCCAACTTTGTAAACATTCTGGTTACGGGACTACGCAAAACATTTTATTTTTGTTATTTTTAGTAGTTCAAGTGTTAACGAAAATATTTCATATTTCGCTATAACTTTTGCTAGACAAAAGTGCACTAAACCATTTACGATCGTTTCTTTGTTTTTTTTCCAGAGCAAAAAGCTATTTTATCTCGTTTCAGAATAATATTTATCTTCTTCGCGTTTCTTCAAGTAAGATCTAATATTCGTGACAGCTAGCAAGTTTCAATTAAATGCATCCATTTAAATGTTCTCTAGCATTCAATAGTTTCAGAGATTATTTTTCTTTCCAAGAAAAGTAATTTTGTAAATATCTAATAACCTTAGAGGATTGAATTGTAATAACGTTAGAATTAAAAAATAATAATTGGTACCCTACCGTTTACAGCTGATAATTTTCGTGAAGAGTATGGATCTCCGTTAGGAAGCAGAATATCTGAAACAGAAGGACAACGTATTGTTAGTAATTCCTTAGTTAGTAATTACATAGAAAAATTGCGCGATCAGCCTTTTTACGGCATTATAACATTTTCGAACTTCTCGCAACTACTGAACAAACAATTTACAGTAAAAACACGAGCACGCTGAAACGACGACAATACCCTGCTAAAATAAAATGTTACGATCAAGAACATTTTCCCAAATTCTATTGCTTCAATTCTTCCTAACAGTCTGCAACGTTCTCTTGTCTTACAAAGTCGAGGGCGCGTTTCCTCGCAACACAGGGTGGTAACAAAAAAAAACAAAAAAACTGAAACAATTGCTCTGGATGCCTCAAACACGGTAAAACTACGGTAATAAACGGAAGACCCGATGAGCATCTAATCAAGCGTGGCGCGCTCGCGCGCGTATAGTTACAAAGTAAGCTGCAAAATAATTAACGCGCTGAGTTATAGGATAGCTGTGATTAACGAAAATTAACTGAGTTCGCGCGTGGCTAGACCGGCCGCGTAAAGAAGCCCAGAAAGAGGCAGACAACGAGAGAGAGAGAGAGAGAGAGAGAGAGAGAGAGAGAGAGAGAGGGATATATATATATATATCTCTCTTTCTCTCCCTCTCTCTCACTCTCTCTCTCTCTCTCTCTCTCTGTCTCTCTCTCTCTATCTCTTTCTCTCCCTCTCTTTCTCTCCCTGTCTCTCTCACTCTCTCTCTCTCTCTCTATATCTCTCTCTCTCTCTCTCTATATATATATATATATATATATATATATATATAGAGAGAGAGAGAGAGAGAGATAGAGAGAGAGAGAGAGAGTGAGAGAGAAAGTGAGGGAGAGAGATAGAGAGAGTGAGAGAGAAAGTGAGGGAGAGAGATAGAGAGAGACAGAGATAGAGAGAGTGAGAGAGAGACAGAGAGAGAGAGAGAGAGAGAGGGAGAGGAAGAGAGAGAGAGGGAGAGAAAAAGAGAGAGAGAGAGACGATACGGTAGAAGCGCGACAGAATGAGACAGAGACGTAGAGGGACGCGGAACCGGTAGACCGGCCTTAGTTAATAATAACGAGAATCGCCAACTCTCGCGGATTTTAATTCGAAATGTTCAATTAGCGTGCGGCCGGTGAACCGTGACGCGGTCTCGTATCATCGCCGGGTAACGACTGCCTTCGTTCTTCGCCGGCATAACAGCCGTAAATTGGAAAGTGATACCGAATTCACGCGTCACCGAGCGCACCGTGCGATCACCGCGTTAATTATAGATATCCGGGGACGCCGCTCCGCGACACGAGTGTATTTTAGGTAATTGGGGGTGGAGCCCGGGGCCCGAAATCGCGGCGCGCCCTTCGCCGTTCGTCGCGCCACCGCTCTGCGCTCCGCTCGGCACTCGGCTAGCATTTTCCGCCCCGCGTCCATCCGTTCCGACGGAAGCGTGCAACGTCGATTCGGGGAAACAGGATGAGGAGAGAGAGCAGAGAAAAAAATGAGAGGCGTCCGTGCACGCTTTAAAAAGTTCGACCATTTATACCAGCCCCCGTCCCCGCTTCGCTCCGCGCCGCGTCCCCCCATACTCGCGCCCACACACCCCCGTCCGAGCCCTATCTTCCTCGGACGGTTAAATCGTTCGACATCGTAACTCTCGGCGAATTAATAATTTCGCCCGGCCGAGATGCCTCTTTTTTTTCGGTCCCAGTCTTTTTGCGGAAAAATTAACCGGCAGGGGTCTAAGTGGATTCTGCGTGCAATCGATACTACGCGAGACCCTTCGAGAACCTCGCAAGGCCGAGCCGCCGTGTCACGGTGCGTTATATTAACGCACGTGTGCACACGTGCGCACGTTCCACGTTAACTTCCGCGAATGCGATAAATTCTTTGACTACCGTCGATCTCGTTTTGCGAAAACTTGCTACGGACGACCCGGGTTTTACGAGCCTTCGGTTTACACACACATTGTTCTCGGTTCACGAGGCGCCTGTTGTTACAACGGTCGAATGTGCTTCGGCGTTGTTCCGCGATGTTGTCCCTTCGAAATTCGACAATGTGTTGATCTTGTTCTGGTTCGTGGTCATTCTCCACGTAGTTTATTGTTTCGACACGGGCACAAGTCTGTTTGAATTGTTTGTGTATTTTTATTAATTTCTTGCGGTGCGAGGTTTCTTATTATGTTTCACAGTATTGTCGGTATTTAATTATATGTATAAATGTGCAACGTGAAACTATTGCCGTGGTTATCTAAAATTATTCGGTCACTGAATATTTATATTCGGTCAATTAATCCGATTCAACGGGATTATTAGTCTACGGATATTTACGTATTTATGATAAATATAATTATGAAAATTTTAAAAAGTTTTATTATACTGTACGGTGCACGATAATACCGATGTATTATTTTCAATTTATTAAAATGATCGAGCAATGAAAGTGATCTCTGCTTGATTCCTGTATCCTTGAAACCAACGCAGAAAGTTTTGATGTAGTACCAACATCCACAGTTCAGAAATTAAACAATGTTCTTCTGTATTCGCAGTTTTACAAAATTTCCAATGTTACATTCGATCTGCTCGTTTACATTGCACCTTGCTATATTTGATCTAATATTGATATCTATATTGATCTAATATTGATATCTATATTGATACCTATATTGATCTATATTGATATCTATATTGATATCTATATTGATCTATATTGATCTATATTGATCTAATATTGATATCTATATTGATATATCTATATCGATCTATATTGATATCTATATTGATATCTGTATCGATCTATATTGATATCTATATTGATCTAATATTGATATCTATATTGATATCTATATTGATCTATATTGATATCTATATTGTTCTAATATTGATATCTATATTGTTCTAATATTGATATCTACATTGATCTATATTGATCTAATATTTGATCTTATCGCAATAAGATGTTCACAGACTAATCAACTTACGTACTACGTTAATGTGAAGTCTGAAATCTGAACTTACGTCACTGCTTCATGCAAAAAGAGCCCGATCTACTTAATCTGCAAAAATATCATCTACGCAGCCACATGGTTTTAATTGAATCGGTACCAATTCAATTTCATCGTTAGATTCCTCTTCGAGATCCGTGTGTCCACACGGTATGATGCACCCTGTACACGACAGCCTCACCGCCCGATACCATTTTCTCTCACCTCGTCGGAAAACGAGCAGAACGAACGCAAGAAAAATGAAGGATCGACGACAGATAGCAAGCGAAAAGGAAGCCAGAGACGCGGCGGGTTTGCAACGAGATAACAAGATACGTGGCAACTAATTCCCAATAACGAGTCCAATTACGCCCATGCACGTCTCGTTCCGAGACGGTTGATACTCGCGACCGAGGGCGATCGTTTTACTTAATCGCGGCGCGGCCCGCATAATAATCGCCGGGCGTAAGACAGGCGAGCGAAGGATCCCCATCGAGTCCTTGCGTCCTCGCATCCCGGCCATCCGAGTAAAAAGGCTGCGTCGCAGGAGCGTAGGAGCGCAGGTGCGTGTGGGATGACACGCTAAGTGACTGGAAATCATCCGAGATCGCATGCGCAGCTGTCCCCGTAATTTTCGTAGTTCGGCCGGGACGGGTCGGGCCGGGCCGGGTCGGGTCGGGCGCAGACTGCGTGTACGCGCGCGGCAGCTCCCGGACCCGGTCTGTCTCTGTCTCTCTGTGCAGGTGGAAACGCGTGCACGGTCGATCGAACGGAGAAACACGCCGGAAGGCGGATGCTGCGGACGGAAAAGCGCGTCATTCGTCGGTCCGTTTGTGATTTAGCGCGATTCCCGTCGCACGATTTCGTTGGCTGGCAGGTTCGGCGAGCGAAAGGGTGCACACCGGGCACAGCGTCACCTATAGACGCGTCCACCTACCGGTTTGTACTTCCTAGCGGATGACTCTCCGGTGTACTGGTGTTAGGGATCCATTAGCTAATGGCTGCGCACCAGCCATCTGCTCGACGCTAGCTTTTATTCGCCCGTTGCCGTCCTCCCTCCCTCCCTCTCTCTCTCACTCTCTCTCTCTCGCTCTCGCTCTCCCTTTTCCACGTACCATCGACTCTTCTTCTCTCTCTCTCTCCCTCTTTCCGCGTCCTGTACACCTCGCCCGCGCGCACCCTTCGTCTTTTTCGCGCCACCCTCTCGCCACTGTCCCGTGGCTTAGCCCAGGCTCATAACGGGGACCGCCGATTCATTTATTCATATCTTTCTTTTTTTCCTCGTAAGTGAACCCCTTGCCGCCGCCAACCCAGCCGACCGTGGTCCTTTCGTGGTTTTTGTTCGACGCTGCGCGCTACCTTATGGGGGTGTTTGTAAACGCCTCTCGAGGCGAGGGTCTGTTGCGACAGAAATGCTGTGCTCCAGCTTTTGAACGGGGAACCTGTGACGTGATCGATTGCTCTGTTCCTGGCTCTCCTGTTCATTTCGAGTGCTGTAGCCGGGACACCCCGGCCAACGAGCCTCGGTCTAAGGAGATTTACGCATCCGTTCCTCTAGGATTCTCTATCGCAATTGAATGGTATCGTCATTCGGCTCGAAGTGCAAAATTTGGGAACGTTCTGATGGAATTAGCGTTGGATTTCGATGTTTATTCATTCCTGGACACCTGTCATTTGCGAGAGATAATTACGAAGCATTTTGTAGAATATTTCCATTTGCTGTTGATGATTTTTCGGGAATACGAAATCTAATCTAATTATCAATCTAATCTAATGTAATTACAGTGGCTGAACAAGGATTGTACAATTGTTAAGATATCATTCGTTCGAACATGTATTTATCAAGACAATGTATTAGGTCTACCGGAAAGTTCTGTCCGATAATGTCATTGCATATTAGAAATGGGTAGATAAATAAAAGTAAAACGCAGTGAATTAAACTTATCCCTTTTAGTTTATTAATTTGATGTACGAGGAAGGACCGTCTTTACTCTCCTGATTGCTCCAGGAGACTGAAGACTATTCACAAAGACGAAACCA